TTCCTCCTCTCAGAGGGACATTTTTTTTTCCAGCTCTAGAAATATCATGTTTTCTATTTTATGCCAATAACTAAGAAGGTTGCAACAAAGGTTTGGAAGCCTCAGGTTTTCTGGGCTTCGGATAGTCTGCTTTCATGTACAGATGTATTCTCTACTGCTCATCTTCTAGCTGTGATATGGAGGCAGAGCTCTTCTTGGTGCCATTAACCAGACAGTTTTGATGGCAACTCTTGCACTTTGCAAGAAGTTATTTTCAAAAGCTGAGGACTTTCCAAAAGAGCTTCCCTCTCACAATGGGGACAGTTTTTCTCAGTGATAGGAATGTCATTTTTTCTGTTTTAGGCAAGGAACTACTAAGTTTGCAAACACTCCAGCCTTTAAGACATTCACTGGCTCTTCTGTTTTTGGAGGTCTAGGAGTACTAGACAAATATTGTAGATGATGGTTAGTGTGTCCTTGCATTTTCCCCACATTTTTCTCAGTATGGAGGATGAAAAACTTGCTTCACTTTCAGTAGTATTTTGAAAGGACAGAAGAGCAAGCTCCCAGAGTGAGGGCCAACTCCAAAACACTGATTCCTTCCTTCTGGGGTTTGTGCCATTTGAGCAGATTGCCTGTGGACAATTTACTAATTACAACAGCTGCTATAGCACGTCAGCATCGTTATGTGTAAGTGCCCACACATGTTGGGCAGTGTCTGGGCTTGGACACTCAAGGTTTGATCTGTGACACAACCACCAAAGACCCATGATCTGATGCAACTTCGTTCAGAGAGAGGCCCATCTTTGTCAGAGGAGGCTCCTTCCTTTCCAGTGCCACAGGAAGGGCAAGAAAAGTTGTCCCCAGAACTGCAGGCTACACGTGAAGGGGGCTTCCTGGAGCCCAAGGAAGGCATTCAAGATGAACCAASTGCATCAGAGTTAATGCTATTGCAAGAAAGGGGAAAACTGCCCCTACATCTGGACTCACAGAAAAGGAGGAGGTCCTCACACTGAAAAGACAGCCACCTATATTTAGTATTTTTAATCCTTCTTTTTCACTGTGGATAGCTAGAGACCCACAGGCAAGGTACCAACAAGCACTCGAGGAATTCAGCTCCTGGTTGGCTGTGCAGGACTTGGGAGCTGGAGGGTGAAAGTGATGCATGGAAATTAAGTTAATTTTAAACCGCAGGCAAGAGAGGAGACTTGCTAGCAGTTACTTAAGAGAAGCTGCTGACTGTTTAAATACCATTAAGAAGATTAATGTCAGTCTGCAGAACCACTGAAAAATTAGGGCTGAAAGGAACTCTGAAAGGTCAGTCTAGTCCATCGCTCTAACCTAAAGCAGGATCACCTAAAACTYGGACATCCCTGACAGATGTTGCTTAACTTGATCTTAAAGCCTTCTCCTCCCCAGGCAGTCTAGTCTTCATTATCTTTGTCATTAKAAAGTTTTTCCTAACATCTAAATTGAGTCCTTCCTGCTGTGATTTAAGTCCCCCCCCCTTTTTTTTAAATCTTCTCCATCACAGAGAAAGAGAAAAGATTATTTTCTTTTATGTGCCTAAAGCCATTAGGTCTCTCATCATCTGGGTTAGAGAAGTTTAGTTCTTCCAAGTTCCCTTGCAGGTACTGGTTTCTATTTCCGCTTGTTCTCTTTGCTCTCCTCTGGGCTGGATCCAATTACTCCACATTTCTGCGCATTTTCCCATCACCTCTATACCGTGGTCTAGTTGACTTGTATTCAGCTTTTGATCCTTCTCTGAAGAATTCCCACTTCATCTGTCGCTGCCTGCTCCACTGCAGGACCCTCCAACCAAACTGCATGCTGCTTCTTCCACACTGTGCTCCCCATTTTTTTCCAGGCGTTCTTGAATTATAATCCTGTCCAATGTCATATTTGAAATTTCATGTGTGAATTGTCTCTGTGTCCATCCTTTGGTTATAAAAAATACCAAGCACAACTAAACTGAGCACAGGACGTGCCCTGCTCAAGCGGTCCTTGCCTCTCAGTCACCAGGGGCTGGCAATGGCTCGCTGGTGGCCGTTATTCAAGTGGATTTGCACTTATTCCTACAAGAAACATTCAGAGCATGTAAGACAAACACAAAATGACTACAAACACCCCACAGTTTTACAGCAGCGGCACCTCTCCTGCTTCTCACCTGCCCCTAACGTCYGTTTGCCTCTGTCACCTGTCTGCTCTCCCCGTGACCCAAGCACCCTTGCCTCCCCCACAGCGCTCGCCAGCCCTCACGAGCCTGCTGACACGTAAAAGAAAATAAATGCGCCATCAAAAATATAGTTTATTTCTCAGAAGCCACGGAGGAATGGCCTGCCTCTCCGCGCGGCCCCCGCCTCGGGCAGCGCGGCCGGCGGCTGCCCCCTGGCGGGCGGCGAGCGGCCGTTACCGCCGCGGGGCATGCCGGGCGCGCGCGGCGCCCGTTGGAGCCCTTGGCGCGGCCGTTGGAGCCGTTGGCGCGGCCGTTGCTAGCGCCACAGTGGCCCCTCACGGCGGCGCCTCGTGCTGCCCCTGCGCGGCGGCCGCGGCTGCTGCAGCGTTGGGAGCGCAGGGGGAAGAGGAGCTCAGGTAGAAACGCGGCTCTGCTGCAGCGCTGGCAGCCCAGTCCCACCGCTCCTGCCTAGCACAGGCAGCTCCCCGCTTGGGGGACACTGAGTGTTCACAGGGGGACAAAAGAAAATGTACACAGAGCTGCTTTCCCTCCATGCCTCAGTTGTCTGGCATGAAGGTTTGCTGTACTCTTATATCCAGTGCTCAATCATGCTTTATCCCTTAAAAAAAGACATGCCTGCCATCACAAGTGGTTATGATGAGAATTCTTTTGCCATTTTTCAGTCCCAGTCACTGCTGGGATGGGACTAAAGACTGCTGCTGTGCACTGAGGACTCCCTCAGATACGGTGAAGGGACCCTGCAGCAGTGCCCTGACCTGGTCATCTATCCTCAAGGAGGTGAACCTCACAGAAGGTCCCCCATCCAGAGCTAGGTTTCACCAAAACAGTGATAACCAGGATCAATTAACTCCAAGGAGGAAAAGCTCCTGGCCAGAGGATGATAGGAATCAGCAACAGGCTGGAAACCAAAATAAATCCTGCTGTGAGACTGAAGAGGGAATGTCTTCCTCCAAACCAGCAGTTTTCAAGGGCTCCCACCAAAARCAGATTTTGCACCTCTGCAGCTCTAGAAAACACTGCTCCCACCATCTTCCAAGGAGGTGCTAGACCTAGATTTGTTCCACCTGGGAGCCTCCCATTCAGCACCCTGCCTCCACACTCCCTCTACACTCACTGGCCCACAGCTATCCCGGTCTCCCTCCAAAAAGCTCCCACGTACCAGGGAAAGGCAGCCAAGAAGAGATGAACAGACTCCTCAGGCCTTGTTTTAGCAGATAAGCATTTCTGCTAAGCCTGTCCCCACAAGCTGTCATGGTTACAAGCCAGAGTTCAAGGAGGAATACAAACCACTGCTATACAGGGGACAGGGGCTTTATTAAAATCCACTCATGGGCCAAAACAACTAATGCATAAGGAAGAGAAGCAATAGGAACATGCATCTTGGAGGCAGTTCACAACTTCAAAGTGGCAGTAGGCATCAAGCTCTATCTTAGCAYTCAAAATGCCTCTCCTTTTACCCCTTGGTTCTGCACTGAGGGCAGTTACTCACSTCCCAAGGCCCACAAGGTAGCAAGGAGAATCTGGTGAAAGAGTACCTATGGTACCATTGCAGATACACAAGAGAGAACCAAGGCAGCCACCTTTGATCTCCCAGTAGTTTCACATGTGCCTCAGTATCTGCTCTCTGCACTGCTGTATGCTGCTGGGGAAAGGTTTTTTTGTGAGATTAATGAGATCAGGCTGATCCCAGCATATTTCTTCCTCTGCCTATACAACCTTGTTCCACCTGTGTCCAAGAGCAGCTCCTGCTCCCAACCTCCCTCAGGGCTCCTACCTTGCCAGGCAGCTGCAGCTCAGTTATTCCCCACAGCCTGCACAGTGCCCACCTGCCCGATGCGGATGTGCCCCCCAGCAGCACCAGCTCTTAGCACATGGCAGGCTGCACCCATCCTAATTGAGGGAAGGAAAARGAATATTTGAACATGCTCCAAAAGGAAGCACAGCCCCAGCTTCCCCCATTCATTTACTTGCAGAGCTTGCCTAAACCTGCATGTGGGCTGCCTCTCACAGACAAGCAATTTAGAGGCAAGTAGAGCTGGGCCAGCACAAGTTAGGGAGAGGCAATAACCCTTCTGGCAAAGCCCACAGGCACTTTAGAGACAGACTTGGAGTTCAGCTCAGCCATCTCTTCTCCACTGTTTAGAGACATTAACCCTTCACTGCCTCTGCCCAGGCATTATTCTGTTCAAGATGACTTATTCCAGCTGCAAGTCCACTGTGTCCTTCAAAACTGTCTATCCAGGCCCTGCAGAACACAGAGGGAGAATCCTATGGAAGGCAAACCAGATTACCTACATCTCTTCCAAACAAGCATCTCCTAGGGAGAAGCAACCTATGAAGTGTCATTTCTAGTTGTAACCACACAAAAACAAATATTACCAAAATGCTCTAAGTCTAATTTACCTTAAAGGCTGAACAAAGCATAAAATTATCTAGAGAACAGCCATCCCTTTAGGTRCTGATGGGGTTGAGATATTAGCTACTTGAGAGGTGGAGCACACACACACGCACACAAACAGTGTAAGAGAGTTCGCTTCTTAAGYAAGGAGGCTGTCCAACAACCATCACTACAGTTTTACATGCATCATACCCATGAGTTCAAGTGATTTTTTTCTGGCAAGTTAGGAGGGAAGAAGAGGTGCTTGCAAGAATGCAGTGCTGTGATCATACAGCTGACTGCTCCACTTCAAACTCTCAGGACCAGAGATTTTTGGTTAGAAGATTCTCTGTTCTCAGGACCAGAGGCTGCTTAGCAATGAATACAAACATTGTCACAAAACCATGGCAAATGCAGGTACAAAAAAAGGGGAGTGCTAGAGACATGATAGTGCTTCAACATTTATTTGCCCCAAAAAATACATAAAAGAATTAAAACAATTCTAAAAGCCACACAACGTTATATAATACTTTACAGCATAAATATTAACAGTGCTTCCTGCTTAGGAAAAAAACAGCAGGGAGGTCTTTTAGTCAGGCCTTTATGTCCATACATGCATAAAGGTGTTTCATTGACTTCAGGTACAGAACGAGTGACAGGAGATATACAGCAGAGCCCTTCATTCCAGTTTGGTCCAAGACCTGGACATTCTCCCAAGYGAGGTGCTCAGCTGCTGAGCAGGAGCCACATCCAGCAGATACTGCTCACACCGAGTGCAGATATCCACCGACTGCCAGTCTGCCCTAGTCCGCGTGTAAAGGCGCAGGGGCYGTGCCAGGCTGTGGGGCTCCAACACAACAGGCACACTGAAACGGGAGGAGAAAGAGCAGGAAAGATCATGGGGGGTTCAGTTAGAAGGTACAAGTGCTCTTGCACCTCTCCAMGTCCAGCCCAACACTGGCAAGTGACTTAGTTAACGCACAAACTTAACAGAGCGCCTGCTTCCACTTTGGAAAGCTACCACACATCAGAACAGCTTCATTTATTGACACTTGTCTGTCGACCAGCACTACTTCAGCTAACCGTCTAATAGAGGTCTGTGGCTGTTTCACAGTTGTGCACAAGGTCTCTATAACCATAGAAGCAGGAGAGCTTATTTGCCATGTTAAAGCATAGCAACAACTCAATCTGTAAAACCTCTTCCATAGGTCTGCATAGAGTCAAACCAAAACTCTGTACATTTGATGTTAGTTAACACTGCCCTGATTTTTGGCAAATCAAGTCAGATAAAGCCCCAGTATATGCTGTTCTGAAGAATTTCAGTTCCATAAGAGATTGGTTTCACAGAGAAGACATACCTGTTCTTCTAGCATATTTTTATTTCCAGGCCTCTGAGGAGGCTGCCCTTGGGCTGCAGTGAAAGATGCCCAGCAGTGTAGATGGAATACAATGGACTCTGGAAATTCTCACAGAAATGAAGCTGTCACCAGGAACCTTGCAAAGCCAGGCTGATATGGACAACTCTGAAACAGTGTCGGAAACTTGATAGCTAAAAGGCAAAGTGGACCTCAGAACATCTACCCAACTCCTTATAGGTCACCTAAAGCCCACAGCATTTTCCAAGAACTGTGAATCAATTAGATTAGCGGCGAGGCTGATCATTCAGCATGACATCCAGTTCACCAGCACTGGACCAGCTGCTACAGTTGTCAGCACATTTGCTGACTTCTGTATATACAAGTAACTGGTAATATCCTTGAAARGTAAAAACAGAGCACAGCTGCCCCAGCTTACCTAGGACACTTCCAGCGCTCCAGTTCACGCAGCAAGTCTAAGCTCTTCTGATGCTGAGTAGATGGAACCTCCTCTTTGGAGAGTCTCAGAAGTTTTAAGAAGCCCAGGGGAAGATGTACACACATTCTGAAGGGCATGGACATCTAGAATCATAATACAGGAGTTTCCTTGGGGACAAGAAGCCTCCTTCTTAGCAGGAAAACTAGCATAGTACACAATTCATCCATTAGCATACTCGGACACTATTACAGTAAATATTCTGATCCCTACTAATAGGGCATAATAATCAGGATGAAAGGATGCCAAGCATGCCAAGTATAARCAAGGGATATCTGTGATTTGATTCCATTTTTAAATGTTTCAGAGTTTGTGCATCCTAGCAGCTTTTGCAAGTCAAAATTGTTTCTTCCATTTTTCTCAGGAAAAAGAGAGTCAATCTGAGGTATCAGGAGAGTTATCCTTCATCACACTATTGTCCTATGACTAGGAGAGGTGCAGGGGAAAAGAAAACAAAAAATCCATATGCTGTTGTAAAGACCAGACTTGCCTTGACGCAGCAGTCACAGCAGACGACACTAGGAAAGAAATTCCCAGAATTATTATTTGAGTAAAGCTCAGCAGATATAAATGCTGCATCTAAGGGTGCATTTCCCATACTTTGATTATGCAGCAATGTATTAAGGGTAATTAGGAGAGCTCAAAGCTTGCTCATTTTTCTAGCACTCCTGTTTGTGGTAGTTTAAGTCATTTGAAGTGTGTCAGCATCCTTATGTCTTCACCCTGCACTAATACAGTTACTATTCTCCAGTGAGCACTTGCTTACTTCTAACAAACCAGTGCCTCACTATTGCAATAAGTAGRTTTAAGTGAGGCTGAACTTGCCTCAAGTTCTTCTTCCTTCCCCACAGACAAACCCCCTCATAGGTGGATACAAATACATCCAAATCCTTTYTCAGAGCCTATAACTCATTTTTTCCAGTCCTGAAAAGAAGATTCTAGTGAAGRCTTAAGTTAAACACAACTTTGATATTAAATATGCTCTCCACAGAAGAGTGATTGCCAGGAAGGGTTAACTATAGTACTTGYCCAGTAAAGATGGTTACTGCTGACTTAATCCAAACAGTTAAAACTAAAGTTCCACTTCAAAGGCCAGTTTTTCCAAGTCATCTGTAGTTGCAGACACATCATCCTAGCTCGGATARTAAAGCAAGCAACCTGCTCCTACCTAAACACCACAACTGTTTGGATGCTGAATGTTTTCTTTACAGCCCTTTCACTCTTTCTTCCTCCTCATTCTGTCCTTTTGTGCCATCTCACCTGCTGCAGAGATAACAGCTGTAAGGCCACTTAAGGAACATCTGCTTATGGCAGCTGAAACAGATCTGTGGAAAGGAGAGTTACTAGTGAATGCCAGTGGGAAAGATCTTTGTATTAACAGTATCCACTGCCTGCCAAGTTGCTTTCCATATAAACCACCCACCCTAAATACTTTAGATTCACATACAATGACAGAGATTCGATGAAGGATAGCAGAGACATAGGTATTAGAAACTTAAAGGCAAGGAAGTCTTATTTGTAAGCCTACATTTTTTATGATGTGGGGGTTTGGAGCAGCTGCCAGACAACGGGAGTTTAAAAAAAGCCTCTTGAACAAACAATAGTTGTATTGTGTAAGAGTGTAACAGTAGCTAGTTAGAGAGGGAAGAGAGACATTCTTTGAGGTAGGCTGCAGCAATCCCAAAGAGATTAAGTCAGGGCAAATTTGAATCCAATCCTGAAGCAAAAAAAAAAAAAAAATAATGAGTCATAAGGAAGCTGATGAGTCGCTTGAGCTTTATAAAACACTCATACACAGCTGGCAGTCAGAAGTGATGTTATCTTGAGAACTGGAGCTTGAGAAAACTTAAAAAAATGCAGCAGTGRGAACACAAAGGAGGCAAAGAGCCATTTTAGAAGAGGCAGAGAAGAGGCAAGTTAAAGCAAGGCTGGCAACTGCAGCGAGAAGCAAGAATTCAGTCTCAAACTCCCGAGTGAGAGACTGTGGGAGCAGCACAATGATGTCAACAGGAAGCCTTTGGCTTTGTCCATACTGTTAAGTAAATGAGGGGGCAAGAGGGTGACCCTCAGAGCCAAGCAGCAAGGGCACCTTCCAACTATGCTGCTCCAAGGGCTCGCCCTCAAAACGTTTGCTCTAAGTTTGTTTGTTGCTGGCTGGAACAGCCCAGGACAGACTCGGTGAATGCGCAAGCAGTTAAGGTGAGCAGATAGTGGCTGCTCTGCACTCTGTTAGGTTGGAAACAGCAGACAAGAAGCATCAAGCAAAGGCCGAGGAGAAGAGAAAGCCGAGTAGCTTCCTAGGTAAGTCACACAGCAACTTAAGCTCAATTAGTAGCCAGCACAGCACAAGCGTCAAGATTTTAAACCAGCCAAGGGTCAGACTTGGGATAAAAGTCAGAGAACAGACTTCAGCAGTGGGGCATGGAGAGACACAAAGCCAGCCAGCTTTTGGAAAGGCACAAAGACAAGGAGAGGACACACACCTTGGCTCTTGGAAAGACACCATCACCACATCTTCTGGGAGAGCCTTCCTCCTCCAGCACCATCATCGCGTATCTGGTTCTAATCAGCTCAGCTATGGTTGGCATTGGCCATTTGGTAGGTAAGGGACGGTCCTAGGCAAAAACAGAAGTTAAGCAGCAGAGAAAGCTGAAGGAAGCACACATCTGAAGTGGTCATCCTCAAAAATGGGTCTCAAGATGCTCAAGAGCATTTATTCCCAAAGCTGCATTCCACTGGGATGGGCCCTGTCAGCGGACACTTTCAGAGAAACTGCTGCTCGACCAAAGAATCTGTATAGAAATACTGCTACAGCATTCAAGCTTTTAGACAAACCTAACAGCTTCTTGATGCCTCATTAGAGAAACAGGTCCCTTGGTCCCCTCCAGGGCTCATCTCCATCTCCAGAGCCTTCYCTGGACAATCAAACCCTTTGATGCAGACCCCAGCACAGGCAGCACACTGACCCCTACTCACCTAGGCACAGGATCCCTTCCCATGACACTGGGCTGTCTTGCCTTCCCTTTCCCAGGGTCCCACTCTCCCCCACATGAATGGGGGAGAAGAAAGCAGTGCTTTGATTGAGGTGWAGAGCCCAGGCCACACCTGCATCCCTACCACCCTGACACAGTTGTGATCAGTTTAGGGGACTGCAGGGAGGCAAACRGAAAGGAAGGAGGCAAGGGCAGAGCACACCCTGTCAGGGCAGGGCTATGCCRAAAACCCAGCACTGCTTCTAGAGCAGTGACAGCTTCTGTATTGCAGGTACAGAGTCCCTGACACTGCAGTGTCTCCATTTTGTCCATCATTTGCTCTATTAGTCCTTGACTGCAATTTGAGGATGTTTGTGAATGCATCAGTCTAGACAGAACACAGGGAGATGGAGAAAGCATGGCAATACACCAAGAGCCTGCTTGAGCAAGCCCTTGCATGTAACAGTTCTATTCTCATATGGAGGAGAMCTTTTACTTCATCTCCCTCAAGCACAGGAAAGAGAACCTCTGTAGGGATACTACAGCATCCACCCTTGTCTAAACTGTCCGCAAGGAGACAATACCTCGACTTAGTATTAACATAGTGTAAGGGCTAGACCAGGTAGTCATTACAGTTGTACCAGACCAGGCTTGCCAGCCCCCGTGCAAAACTTACAAGCTCCTTGCTTTGAAGGGCATTCTCCAAAGATCTAGACCTTCTTCTGTATGGAGGCAGCTCCCGTTGGCTGGAGTTCAGGGAACAGACAGGTTTCATGTCTCCTAGGAYGGGTCCACTTATGGGAGCACATGTGCAGTCTGCAGAGAGACCTGGAGAGCAGAGGAGAATTTCAGAGTGTAAAAAACGTCTGCTTCACAATTTCCACCCCAAATGCTGAGCGCTAAGGAGTGCCACAGTGCCCGCTGGCTGAAGCRAGGCTAACACCTTCTCCCCTCATTAGCCCCAGTCATAAAAAGCAGAAGTTACAATAATTATGTCTGTCAGTAGGCAGTGAGGAGTCTCCATTAGCACCATTTGGTTAATAAAAATCAAGCCTTTCCTGCTTGAAAATTCAAAAGACTCATTCAGCTTTTGCTGTGAATTCCAGTTAGGCCTTTGGGGACACTACCATCGTTTTGAAGCCTATGTAGCTCCTGCAGCTTCAGTCAACAGAAGAGCTTTCCAAGGGCACCTCCCCGAACTCATTACTCACTGCTTGAGCCGCTCACAGAAAGTGTCTTTTAGTGCTCAAAAGGTGCCCAATGAGCCCAACCTAAGGCTGTGGCCACCCAGCAGGCTGCTGTGCTTTGTCACCTCCCTGTTTGGACGTGCACCTAGGAAGCCACCGACCTGTGCTAGCGGAGGTGGTTGCAGAGGACCTGGCTGAGGCAGGCAGCGTGCGGGGAGCCAGCGGGGCAGCTGCTTCCTGCAAGGCAGAGGACAAGACAGTCTCACGCTGTGTGCAAGGGACACCATGGCCAAGCCCCCATCTCGGAACCACCACTGCTAAACAAGACCAGGATACAAACTGTCCAGAAGTGATCCAGACTCAGTCAGGAACACTGGGAAGAGAGAGGGAGAGAAGTCCATATGGTACATTTAGGTACTCCCAAAAGGCAATAGCGAGTTTGTTCTCCCAACAAGGAAGTCACACTGGTCCAACTTCAGTTTCATGGATTCTCTCTCTCTGTTCAATGCACATATTGGTCCCAAAGCCTCGACTGTTCAAAAACCAGCTACACTAGAGTCTTCCTTTACAGCCCTCAGAGCACATTAGAAACATTTCCTTGCTCTGAGCTCACATGCAGCAACTCCAGAGAGCAGCTCAAGAGACTGTGCCCRCTAAGACATCTCAAACCCAGCACTGTATCCAGACACCCCCTTTAAAAGCTTCTTCCCACTAGAAAAAAAAGGAAATCCAAATTTGATCCCATTAAAGTCTCTGCAAAAGAGTTCTCTCAAGTCTAACAGTCTCATGATTCTCAAAAACTGAGTTTTCCTACAAATAGCACTGACTTGAGCAAATGCAGGTAGGATTTTCTGCTTTTAAAAATTCATATCTGTTTTCCTCAGTTAAGCAATTGCATTTCAGACAGAAATGTTTACAGAAAACAAAGATCCCTGTGTGTATGCCAAAGCATCTGTGCTAGACACGATGTGTTAGAGCTCAAGCTCTGCTCCACACAAGTTGTCTATGCAGAGACTGAATTCCAGACACCAAGCAGTCAGGCTTTTCACAATCAATCCATGGAGTAAGAGAACCCAAATACTCCATATCCCAGCTCAGGGGCAATGGCGCTCCCTGCACACAGGCAGAACAGGCACTAGCAAAGGTGCTTCCTAATAACAAGTCACTGGGTGCCATTCCACAGGTACTCACATACCACATAAAAATGCAAGTGCATCTGGCATCAAATGCCTTGCTGCATCATACAGTGACATAGGAGCAGTTTTATCTGCTATAGAACTGTCTATATTATCCAAAATCCTATGCTTATGAAAATTGCTGCAGGATCTAGTTTCAGAGATCAAAACTAGGCCTTGGTTTCTACAGGCTCCAACTACACCTCTAAAGAGGTGTTTATGCATAACATGAGCTTCTGTAGAGAACTTTAGTGAACCCCAAAGTACCTTTTTTTAAAAAGGGACAAAACTGCCCACAGCAAGATTTGAACATGATGTTCCAGGATGGTGTGCACACAGGTCTAGTGCCCAAGTTAACTGTGCCTTCTCCACAGTCATTCCATTTAAAGCCTTACCTGAACTCCTGGTCCTAGCTGCTGTGGTACAACATTAAGAATATTAACCTCTGTACTGAGATTTTGAAGAGTTAAGATGTTWTTGCTTGGAGATTTCAAGGCAGGATCTGGTGCCGAAGGCATTTCTGAAGAGGGGGAAAAAACTCACGAATAAGACACACAGCAAAAGGTATTTTGTTGTGTCAAGGAACTGATGAACATTCAGTCCCATACATCAGAATTTACTAAGGTTTGTCCTAGAGTTTGCATCATCTCTGTGTTTTAGATGATGGCACAAATCGTGTTCTTTAGTGTACAGTTATGCTGGACACTCATAGGTTTTTTTAGTTCCAGCAGGCTTGGAGCCTCCCTGGGTAGCAAACAGAAATCTGAACCTCCCTACGAAAGGATAAGTTGAACCCCCTTTGAGTCTCAACAAACCACAAGCTGCTTTTCTAGAAAAGTGTTCTGATGCCTCACCACCTGTGTCAACASAAAACCTGCATTCCTGTGCTACACACACTAGCGAAGAAAGGTGGGCTTTCATCTCCAGGGCAGCCTGWTACTTTTAGTCACCACCGGCTTCACACACACATGCACGGAGTCCCTTCATAGCAGGTGGAGCCCACCAGGTACCTCTGGGCCCGCTCCCGTTTTCCTTGGGCGCCGGCGGCCGAAGTCTCCGCAGCYGTTGAATTTCTGCCATGAGCTGCTCGTGGCAGCCGGGCTCCTGCGGCGGCCGCTCGCTCAGCTGCCTCTCCAGCACCTGCAGGCAGAGCAGAGCGCGGGGAAGAGCCGGCAAAGAGCGAGGCCACCAGCAGCTGCTGCTGCTGCTTCCCAAGGGCCTCAGCGGGGAGGACGTTGTCTCGAGCACGCCCTCCTCACCCGCGCTCGTGCTTTCCACATCTCCTTCCTAAGTTTTGGGGGCACGTGAGAAAGTTCACACAGTGTGTTTGCTGTGGAGTACTAGCCAGTGTCAGGTTCCAAMCTAACTTTGGTCAGTAAGTGTAGGAATATTTCGAGACCGCAGAGCACACCAAATAGGAGCTGGGAAACTGATCTCTTTCCCCTCTGAAGATTTGTCGCTTCCCACTTTCCTAGGCCCGTGTATTAGCAGGCAACAATCTTTTCAGGTTCTACTCTAAATTTAAGCATGGTTAACACAACCCTCTTTCAAATCCAAGCAGATAGCTAGGACATTAGCCCCAGAAACCATTCTGGCAGCTCCAGAATCACTTTGTTTTGCCATCACCAGATGCAGCACCCAGTCACTTACTGGTTTTAAGTGAGGCATAGGAGAAGTTGCATCAACTCTGGAGCCCTTGCATTTTTCCTCAGTGATCACCTGAAAGAACAGAAATGATGCTTAAGAAATTAAGTTGTTTCTGTACTACTCATTCCCTCTCCCATTCAGCAGCACAATGAGCAACAAGTCACAGTTTGGGAATGCTGGGGATAGAAAAATAAAAAATAATAGATATAAGATACTAAATAGGAAAGTGTAGAAAAAAAGTTTGTCTTTTTTTTAAATAAGCAGAGAGCACTTTGCTTGCAACAAACTACAGGCAATCAGAAATACTAGGCAGCTGTTGGGGGCTTGCACAGAAGTATACAGCACTCCTACCCTGGCAGTGCATTAAGAGAGTTGAGAAGCTGCTGAAAACAATATTGTACTTTGAGATTTTAATGCCAGGAGTGATTCTGACAACTATCATGGCCACATCATAGGGCTGCATCAGCCCTGCACTGGCTGCAGAGGGAAGCACTGACAGAGGCAGCTGTACCTACATGCACTATCCTGATCACTTAGGCCTACTTTGAGGCTGTGCCGTTTGCTCTCCTTGCATGTACAACTTGAGAACACCTGAGAGAGCAGGTAGAACAACCCTACAGCTCTGGGGACTTTCACTCATTGGGAAGTTAGATCACAGCTTACTAGGAGCTTTAGAGTAGCTTTGTAGAAGGAGAAATCCCTGTTTAAGAGCCTTCTCAAACAGCAGCCTGATCAGTAGCACTCCATGCCTTCTGCCAGTGCTCCTGACTATCTCTCTCTGGACTTGCAGCTTGCTGACCAGAGCAGAAGAAAATAAATAAGAATTCAAGAGCCAGTTAATCCTGCCACCTTGAGTTGCAGTTCTGTACTGCAAGGTGCAGTCACATTATCATACATAGCATGTCATAATGGTACTGTTTGCAATCTCCTTTCCACTACTACTCATTTATGCATTGATACCAGTTCTCCAGGTGAGACTGACATTTCTCTGGAGACTGGAGCCACAGTCAGGAGGAGCAAGAACTGAGATTTCATAGGGGTGCATAGCTCAGCTGAAGCTGTTTGATCCTCTGCGCTCCAGGAGCACTGACAACAGGCAGAAAAGTTGATGCCTAGCATGCTATGCTAACTTTTCACTTTTAAAACATACAGCTCTTCATTATAATTGTCTCATCTTCTGCCAAGAAATACRTCTGCAAAGCACTCCAGTGCCACAGAGTCTCAGGCCAGTGTTTTAGATGTGCTCCTCTCTCCCAGCTCAAGCTGCAGCAAGCGAGCAGCACCACAGGCCTTTGGAGCTCGCTCATCTCTGTCCCTGGGCATAGTCACCAGCAGCCAGCGCTGGAAGCCCCTACCACTCGAGTCAGTGCAATAGCTGCCCCAAAAATACATTTGGCTTCTCTTGTCCTGCCTGAACTTCTGGAGCAGCCTCTGTTCGAGGCAGAACCCTTTTGCGTTAATCCCCGCACCAGCTGAGGAGGCAGGGAAAGTGGGAAGAGGTGGCAGCCACTGGGCAGCTCAAGGAGCCTGGGGAGACAGCACTGACACAGAAATCCCAGGCAGTTGAGGGGCTGTTTTGTGGCRCCGCTGTGTGCAAGGCAGTTTAACTGCACCAAGGGAGGGAGCGCCGATCCCCACAGCAAGGGGAAATGTGGCATCCGGCTTCATAAAGTTCGGCTACCCCGAGTCAAAGTCACTGGGAACAAAGTGCTTAGGAGGACAAGTGTTGTGACCCAACGCTGAGCTGAGAGGGGGCTTTAGGTGCCTCTGAACTCAGAGAGGTGTGGAGGAAGGCGTGTAGGGCAGGTGTTTGAGAAGGCCCCTCAGGRGACACCGCTCGGAAGCGAGGCGGCCACAGCAAGGGGTTTCGGCGCAGCACTCACCTTGCGGAGGGTGTAGCGCCGGTGCCGGATGTCGTCGGCCAGCRCCTCGTAGGGGGAGCGGGCGCGCTGCTGCCGAGGGGCCGGGCGCCGCGGCGGCGCCGCGCGCAGCCTCACGCCGCTCTGCAGCTCACGCACCACGGCCGGCCACAGGGCTGCCTGCGAGAGGAGGGCCAAGTCGCACGGAGCGGCGTTTCCGCCCTCTGCTTAACAGGATTTGGCAACCCGCGTCACCCAAGGGTGCACAGGTGCATTCCGGACCCCCCCTTCAATGGATTTATACATCAGCTGGAGGTGTACAGTAGCACAACACAGAATTGCTCCGCAATACTAATTTACAGCCAGGGATCTAGAAGCTGGTTCCTCAGAATCCTTCCTGAATCTTGTGGTTAACTTAATGACTACTCTTCAACAAGACACTTTCTATTACAGGTAGCTAAGTCTATCCCTTCTCTTGAAGGGCTTGAGCAAGATCCTGCAAGGATACCAGGTGCCAGAGTTTGAGAGTAGTGCAACCCAGGAAACATTAGGAATGAAATCTCAAATCTCACTGCTAAAGTCCCCCATACTTTCAGAAGTCAGTGCATGAAGGACTCACAAGGGCAAGGGGAAGAGAGCTCATATTTTGACCTCCCCAGCAGCTTATGTTAGCAGTTTCAGCTGGGAGACACAAGCCAACATCTGCTCATCCTTTTCCTCTATTAATACCTGTTTCCACAGGATGCTCAGGCATCAAGATAAACCAACAAGAGTGAAAGAGGGGAAATAAAAACCAAACAACTCATCGGCATGTTTAGACAACACTGCAATGGAAGTGCTAAGTCAACAGCTTACCTGGATCCCAGAGGCAAGCCGAGAAAGAAGCGATTGTATTATAAACAATGAAAGGGAAGCAAAACAGTTTAGAAAACTGCCTCAGAACTAAAGCTCTGACTTAGACTCCCCTCCCTTTTCYACTTGCAGAACAGAGCAGCTTTGCYAACCCTCTCGGCTACCTTGGCACAGCGTCAGAGGAGCCCTGGGCAGGCTCTGGCTGATGGCTGCCTTCACAGAGAAGGAGGTTGAGCTGGTTGTTTTAGCCTGGCTTGGGAACACTTTAGCTGAACTCCAGAAAACCACAGCAGCCATAAAAGTGGCCAAATACCAGCCACATCTCCTAGGCTTGCATATTTACTCCAATGGAGAACAAAAACATCTCTTACTGAAAGTCTAAGGGAGGAAAGAGCTGGGCAAGTTAATCAGTACTGGAGGCCATGGGTATGAAAAGTCTTATCCTGGTCYATGAGCACTTTCTGAAGTTTTATTGCACATGGTGACGGTTGTTCTGAAAAAGGCCACCTGAAGACACTTCTGTGCCACAAAACTACCACATTACTTTGCAGACAAGACTGGCCTTTAGCTGGCCCTTTCAGAGCCATGACAACCAAACACTCTCTACCCCAGAAAATGTCCTTTTCACTTAAACTTTTCTTTCTCTCCCAACTCAATCACTGCAGTTACTCTACTTGGGCCATCTTGGGAACTACCAAACTGGATATAAGCTTCATCCCACACAAGATGCCACTCGAGCACAGGAGAGCAGAGGAAAAAGCACCTGCCTCCCATACAATACTCCATACCCACTGCACACAACATTTGTGTTCAACACTAAGCAGTAAGACAGCTCTGCTCCTGAGGGATCTTAGCACGCAGACTTCAAGGAGAGAGCTGCCTTGGGCTGCACTTGGGCAAACTCTGCGGAGATGCTACCACACTGCGCAACATCAGGCTGAGGCCTGTGCTTCAGAAAGCCCCTTTCGTAGGGGTCAACATGAGAAAGTTGCCCATAGACAGCGCTGGCTGCTYGGCACCACTCAAGGCATCAGCTCCAGCCTGCGGGATGCCAGGGAAGCTGGCATCATCATTATTTTAAACTCAAAAGAGTTTGTCAGAACGATGCAATCCATTGCTGCTTAGGGACTTGGAAACGAGAGGCAGAGGATTTGCAACAGACATCCTGCCTTTGTAATCCACGTCTCCCGAAGAAGCAGAGGCCAAATACACTGGCCTTGGGGCCACACTGCAAAGCCCACATATTTATTCATGTATTCCCTGCAGAAAAGAACTAGAGCAGTTGATGAGTTTGTGGTTTGGGATAGCTTGCCAGTTTATTTTAATAGCTCACAAAATCGAGAATATGCCCAAACACACATTGCACAAACATTTTCATACGAATAGTTTGAGCACGCTTCAAAGCGAGTGCTATTTAGACAAAGGGAGCAAGTCCACAAGTCTCTCGGGGCTTGCCGCTCATCTCCACAGACTCCAGCGCGTTTGTTTGTGCTGGGCACAGCTCCAGCCAGAAGAGTTATTTGCTTCTGATGGAGCCCTGACTGTGCGAGGCTATGGGGAGAAGAGAATAAGCTGCTTTCTCTGCCCCAAGCACGAAGAAAGGGCAGAATGAAGGGCCAAGCAATGGCAGCGAGCAGAGCGGGGAGCCTCTCCCTCCTTCGCCCCACTGCAGGAACTGCACAGCCAGAGGCAGGTGGATCTACTGCTCCACACAATCCACTGGAGCCCATATGATAGCCATGCRCTAGTCCACCTCAATGCTGCCAACCGAGCAGCTTCCTAGGGGCTCACAGTTCAGCTACGGAACAGAGCAGCCTGCTCTTGGCAGGTGTCAACTCCTGCCAAGAGATTGGAGCTCATTTAGCAGAGGAAACAGAGTAACTGCTTGTGGACACTTACTCCACAAAGAATGCCTCCAGTTGCACTTTCAGAGGTGGTTTAAAGTTGAACCACAAAGGTTCTTTGTGCAGAATAAGCGTCCACATGGGGCSAACACCTTTAACAGTAGTCTCTCTCACTCCCCAGCACGTTTTACAGACAAGTCTTTAACTACTTAAGCTCTTAAACAACCAAAGAAGTTTAGTTTGGGTGTCCTTGAGCTCTGTTTTTCATAGAGGAGTCATCAGAAAGTCTCARAGAGAAAAAGTAAATTAAAACACCCCAAAACTCCTCCACAGTGGAAGAATTAAGTCCCTTACCAAGTATTTTTCCTTCTTCAGAAAGGGATTCTCCAGCAAGTGTTCCGCGTCCATTTTCCTCAGACTCTAAGTAGTGAGCATACAAGACAATGATTATCTTGTGCTTTTCCAGTACTTCCCCACCTGCCCATTTCAAGTTACCAGTCTTAATCTGCAAAGCCAAGAAGTCAAATCCTACAAACATTCAAAAGCCTATAATCAAACTGGTGCAGACAGAAGCCTTCCATATTATGGAAAGTAGACTTTTGCTACACATTACATTTCAAGTACAAACTAAAAACTACTCTAGAACTAGGTAGCCATAAGGAGGCAGAATGAACAGTGCTAATGGATGATGCTCAAATACCTCTTTTGAAGTCTGGATGACAGAGAGAAGCTTCTGAAGTTCTACATATTCAGCAAAAAGACTCCTGCAGGTCCCCTTGTAATGGCTGGCAGCCTCAGAAGGCCTGGGCAAGCGATCCTCACAGATCTGAAAGAGGGCAGTTATTTAAGGGGGATATCTTCCTCAGAGGAAGAGTCTTGTAGGTCCTAGGGGAAAAAGGCAGGGAAGGGAAGCAAGATTCAGTTTTCTCAATCTGTTATTGAAAGTAGTTTTCCATTTTTTTTAACATATATATATTTCCCCAATAGAGGGAGAAGAACAAAGAAGAAAGATGCTCAGTCCTGTATATACAGTACTGCAAGTTGTTTTGTAGGTTATACATCTTGTAGCTAAGTACCCCCAGGACAGGAAAACCTCCAATGAGAGAATACTGCAGGTGGAGACATTTATCCTAGTTTCTACCCTCCACTCCACTGAGATTAGGGCATGGGAAGTTTCTGATACCCTGAAATTACAGTTGAGAGCAAATTAGTAGTTTCAGTTGCAATATTTAACACTCAGCTTTTTCAGAAACCTGAATATTTGAACAATCAATTTTTCATTACCTAGATCTTCCAAAGGATTTCACACCTAGAAGATACATATATTGTAAAGGTTATGCTCCCTAGAAACAGTTTCATATATCTTGACCTGTAGATGATCACGTAGCCCAGACGCTAAGACTCAGTTTAGCTCTGGGGCCATGGCAAGTCACTTTCAGAAATTAGGCCTTAAAGAAAGTTTTAGACCACACCTGTGAAGTACAGCTATGGGAGGCTTGGTACAGAAGAGCTCCACAGACAGGCTTGTATGACAGCCCTGCTCAGTCTTCCTGCTTAACTCTTGGCCATTGAGACTTCAGGGTACTCAGGGTGTTTTTCCCTTTCCCACATGCATGTCTAAGCCCTCCGGCTCTTTCCCCTGGAAATCGTTGGGCCCATTCACTAACAGCCTTGCCCCATCAAATCTTCTACAGCTGCTACATTTATGGAGTGGCAAGAAGGAAACCTTGATAACATCCTGCAGGGTGACCACCCGTTTCACCGCCTYGTTGTCCAGCTTCAGCATGAGGGACAGGAGCTTCTCCAGGGGCTCACTCAGTTCTCGCTCTGCTTGGCTGTCAATTCCCCAGTCCAGGGCTTCATAGACCACCACTCCCAAGTACTCCAGCAGCTGTGGAGACAGGCCAAGGAAGCCGCCTCAGTGCTCCCACTTCCCCATCACATGCAGCCTTCATCACAGGGCATCTCTCTCGGGGTGAGAGGAGCTCAGGAGGCAGCTACCTGCCCATCAGCTGGCCTGAAGCACTCCCCAAATCAGCTGTTTTAAGATGTGAAATGGCCCAATTTAGCACCATTAAGTGATTTTTTTTTTTTTAAAGGGGAGAAAACCCATGGGCTAATCCATAGTCAGCAACACCCACACACAATATTTCCCAGGCCCATCACCATAGTCGAGTTGGAGCCTAGAGCTTTATCTCATTTTCCACATAGCAAGGCACAGAGTCACTGCCTGGGGCACCTGCTTCCCCAGAGCACAACAAGTAGGAGCAAAATAATCGATTTTCAAAGCCCAGAAACCCATGTCTCCAGAGCTAGCCTTCTACCACAGCAGGGTGACAGCTGCACACGCATGAAGCTGAAGGCACCAGCTTACCTTCTCCTCCAGCTGTTGAGCATTGCCAACATCTGAAAGGAAGCAGGAGAGGAGAGTGATGAGGTTAAATGTGTAGGGGGTGATAAACAAGCTCCACCTAAGTGCCTGAGCCAAGTGATTCACAAAATGGTCACTAGAAGTCAGGAGGCTGCACAGATGCACTGCCACTCATCCAGGCCTTTGGAGAGAGCCTCCGAGACAACAGCCACACAACAACACAGGACAAACAGGAAAGCAGAAGAGTATTTCCCCATTTCCTCCACATTTTAGCTAGGGCAGAGCTAGGTACAGGAACACCCCTGGTCSCCGCAGCTACCTGCGCTCTTCTGATGGACCTTGAAGGAGGCGTCACCGTCAGCGTGGATGAAGACGCTGCCCAGGCCCTTGATGAGCACGGCGTGGAGCGCGGGCGGCGGCGCCCGTGCCAGCCGCCCCATGGTGCGGCAGCCCTGGAAGCAGAGCGCCCAGGCCTGCTCCTCGCCCAGGGGCCGCTCCAGGCACCGCAGCAGCTCCGCCAGCGACACCCTGGGCRCCTGCTCCCCACACGGCAGGGGCTCCATCTGCACCCCAGGCACCTCCCCGGCCTCACTGCAAGGCCAGGCTGCTCCCAGCTGCCTTTTACCAGCCCTGCCCCTGGGGCGCCCTCCCGCCTGCCCCCTTCCCCACAGGTGTGACCAATAAAGCTCATTTTGCTCTTTTTTTTTTTAAAAAAAGAAAAGGTCTTAAGGAAAAATTTCTTGACAAGTTTGGGTTGACAGAGCCCTGGCACAGGCTGCCCGGGGAGGCTGTGGAGTCTCCTCCCCTGGAGATCTTCTGTATTGCCCTGGATGCCGCCCTGTGCCCCGTGCCCTGGGTGTCCCTACACGTGCAGAGGGGTTGGACTAGGTGATCTCTAGAGGTCCCTTCCAACATTATTCTGTGGTTCTATGCTTTGTGGAAGCAGCCATAGTGTTTTTGGTGCCTTCTCCAAGGGGGGACAGTGCAGGTGTGTTCTCTGTCAGGTTGGATATTAGGAGGAATTTCTATACGGAAAGGGTGGGGAAGCCTCGGCACAGGCTGCCCAAGGAATGGGTGCAGACCCCACCCTTGGCAGTGCTCGAGACCCGTATAAATGAGGTGCTTATGGACACGGCTTAGCGGGCACGGGGGGCCGGGACCACGGTTGGACTCCATGATCCGGACGGTCTTTTCCCATCACACGGACCCAGGGAATCCCCCAGCCCCTCGTCAGCGCGGCGGGCACCAGGTCTACCCGCAGCGCGGCGGGCACCAGGTCTACCCGCAGCGCGGCGCGGGGGCGGCAGCCCCACCCCTCCCGCGGGGACCGCCCCCCGTGGGCGGGGCGTGAGTGCCCCCGCCCCGCCCCCGCCGCTGGCCCCGCCCCGCGCCCGGGAAGATGGCGGCGCCCTCG